TTTTTTTTTTTTTTTATTAAAAATATTAATTACACATGATTTTTAAAAGAATTACCTGGTTTATCGTAGAAGGTGTCAGTATGGAATTGTGTGTATAATGGTTATGCTTGAAATGATTTTTGATGTGATGCTCGTTGTGTCTATTATTTTGTCCTATATCCACCTTTGGTTTCTCTTCCACTATTGATAGTAATGTATGTAATTTTTTGACATTATTTTTGCCAGCTAGCTTTATTGCACTCTGAAATTATAAAAAATTTTAAATTACATTTTTGTTTGATGAAATACATAAGAAATAAAAAAAATTTTATTTATTATATTTGTTAAAAAAATTTATTTTTTAATTTTAAGTTTTTTTATTTTCGACAAAAATTTAATATTTATTTTTAGAAATAGAAAACATTGAAATATAATATGGAGTTTAATATAAGTTTAATGATTAAAAAATATATTTTTAAGAATGCAAGAGTTCATTCTAAGAGAACAGGCCTTATTTACATGAAATTGAGGATGCTGTTGCAAGCAGGTATCGTGATAAATGTAATATAATTCTTACGATAGCTTTGTGCAATCGCTAACTGCACAGGCGGAAATTAAAATAATCAAATTTCATTCCTGGTGACCATTCATTGTACTTAATAAACTTGGAATATTAGTATATTCCGTTGAAATATCCGTTTATATTCAACACGTATAAAGTTTGATCAACTAGCAAATAATTATATTCAACACGTATGGTAAACACGTCACGATTTTTGCCACAGGTTTACACTTGCATATAAATAAGTTAGATAATTTATTTTTTTATCACTAGAAATATCAGCGAATCATCAAGCTCGTGTAAGAAGCATAAGATAGAAACTTCTACGCGCACAGTAGAAAAAGCCGTATGAGAACGCCTTTCCGTCGGTGCCTTTAAACCGCGATGTCAGTGCACATTTCTGAACGGGTGGCGCTCTGCCCCCTCCTCCTGGTTTTTTTCTCTCAGTTTCCCCTATGTGCACCTAAATACCGTTATCGTAATAAACGCAGATTCCGTTATTCTTGAAATAGAGAATATCTATCAGATATACGTTCGTGTTAGATCAACTTTATCCGAATTTAAGCTCTTTAAGACAGACGGGCGTTTGCAAAGATGACAGTAGGATTCACAAGCAGCACCATGTCTCGTGTGCGCGATGCAGCACACGAATAGTGGGGAGAATGAAAGAGGCAGTGAGCGAGGTACTGGTGAAGGGAGCAAAAGAGAGGGGGAGAAATCGAGTAGAAAGTGGGGGATGAAAAGAGAAGAGAGGGGAACGACGAGGAAGGTAGAGAGGAAGAGTGAGGAAGAAAGAGAAGACATTGACCGAACGAGCAGCCGCGCGACAAGGCCTCCTTTGCCGTGCTAGGCCAGCTGGAAGGAACGAAGCTTGAACCCTGACTTCTCTTTCTCAACTTAAAGTATTACTTTCCTTTTTCAATAACCGTGTATACGCTTACTCTATTTTGCTTTCTTTCTCATTCTCTTTCTTCCTCTCTCTGGTACAGTTGGCTACCAAAGAAACGATGGGAAAAAGCCACTAGAACTCGCTGTGTAAAAAACTACCACCTAGCAAAAGCCATACTCTACCTGCGCACGTGTGCCAACTGCGAAGTGAAACCCCCTAGGACATGTACCGCGGTTAGATTACATGCTTCTTGCAGCTGAAGTGAATTAATAAATTTTTGCCTTATGAATATATTTAAAAAATAATAGGTATGTAAATGTTTTTATTTTTTAATGTATCATTACTTGAGAAAAAAATGTTTGTTATTATCAAATGTTAAACTCTTTATTGTTTTACATGCTTATCTAAAAATTCTGCAAATATTCAATATATTATTATTTATTTTGTAATAATTTTAATTAAATGATTTAATATAATTATATAGCCAGAAAAAATTTTTTGATAAAATTTTTAAAAATTTTATATAAAAAATATTTAAAACTTTTTATTTTTTGATATTTTGTTTTTACAATAGAGAAATGTATATTGGATTTAAATTTATATCTAACAAATTTTTAGTTTAAAAAAAATAAAGAATTATTTGTAATCTAAGAGACAGAATTCCCCGACACAGGACGAGTAAAAGAAGGTCGTTCCCGGACATGCGGACGTTCCACCGGTCGGCTACTCCATGCTTTGGCTAGCCGGCTACTAAACTCGTTCGCACAACGTTGCCACATCTATTCGTTCAGTGTTGACACGATCAAACTCTAATTCAGCTACTACAGTTCGCATATATTCAATCGCAATGTTAATGTGCGAGTTCATATGCACATGCGATTTGAATTAGTGGATTTTAAATGATTGTCTTCTGTATTATATCATTTTGATTTATCAAATGACAAATAGAAAAACATAAAAACATATTCAAGCTATTCAAGATATTCAAAATATGTATAAAAAAACATATAAAAGTTCAAAATATTTTAATAGTTTGACATAATGTATATTCAAAATCAATTTAAATGATATAAATTTTATATTATTAATAGAATGTCATTATTTATTTTAATCAATACAAAAAAAATCATATGATTTAGAAATTGATTTTTCTTTACAAAAGGAAGATTCAGAATTATATGAAATAATTTATTTACTGAAAAAATATAAAATATTAAATTTCAATAAAATATTTGCGCGGGAAATACAATTTCAAATCAATCTAACACATCAAGAGTTGGCTTTTACATATGACAACAATGTTTCTCTTTTGGCGGGCATTACTAACGCTGAGATTAAGTATTCTCCGCTCTCGTTTGTAACAAGCGGATAATAACAGTCATTCGGACATCTGTTTGACGAAAATTTCGGCTGCTTGCCAGTACCAAATTGACGTGCTGAGCGTGAAACGATGCTGGCTGTTGTCCAAAAATTATCCGAAAGTAAACATGTATCATGGCAGCATTGTTTATATTTTCTGTTACCATCTTCAAGTCTTGTTTTCATATAAATTTTTTAATGTCACCAGCATTAAATAATTGAAAACAAAAATGGATAATAATTTCTTAAAAACTAATACTATTATAGAAATGATTATTTCATCATATTATAAAGAAAAATTATAAAAATAGATGAATTCATTTTTTAATATTATTAAATAAGATATAAACAAACTTGTCAAAAAAAATTTCTTTTCAGATGTTTATATATATGATTTAAATTTTTTCTACAATTGTTTTAAACTTTTTGGATAGATGTACGATGTATTAAAAAATTAATAATAATGAATAAATATAGAATGTCGATTAACAAACGAGTATGATTAATTCTTACAAGATAAACTTATTATAAATGATACATTTTTTATATGTAAGAATAAGGCAAATATTAAATGTGTAAAAAAAATTGCAAATGTTTAACCGGTATTTAATTGATCCATATTAATCGATAAAGTATTTTTATAAAAATAAAATAATACAGAAAAATGATAATCTAAATAGAAAAAAAAAGGAGAGGAAAGGAATCAGGCAATACAACTTTTTACAAAGATGTAAATGCAACGGTTAAGACGATCATCATTCGATCATTCAAGTAAGATTATTTTCAGATGTAAATATTTCTCGCCAATTTTCAGAGCTCCGTCTTTTCCATTTGATGGACACATTCTACGCGCTGTTTTCAAGGTATACGTATAATTCAGATGATTTGGGAATAAGTGCCGCCATTATTCCGCCACTGTTTGCAACGTTTATTGTAGATAATACTATCGTTTCCGCATAAAAATAATTGTAGTTTAACTTGAAAAAAGAAACGAGATAAAAAAAAAAATAGGAAAATAATCGATATTACTTTTTTTAAATTAATGAGAAGTTATTACTGTTTTTAAAAAATTATCTTAATTTCCTTTTCTCAATATCATTAATATTTGAAAACTCTTTTTATGAAGTGTTTTCCATTCGTACTTTTTACATTTCGATTCTTGCTTAACCGTTTTTTCATAATTTTCCCTTTTGTTCCTTTCTTAAAATTTCATCCAATAAACTTATTACCAAGATATAAGACAAACAAGTTATACGTCAAGCAACTGTGTAATCGCGTCCACTCAATCATATATTTTTCTTTCCTTTTCTCGAAGTATGAAATTGCAGATATTGATTACGTTTCACGTTGAGGTTTTTAATTCAATTCCAACGTGATCAACAAAACCGATTAATCCGAGACACAGCAAGGGATCTGAAAGTAAAGCGTTCGCCTTCCTCTGTGTTCAAATTATAAACGAGAAGAACTGGGTCAATTCGCCGTGCAGGTGCACGACCGTGTTTCGACCATCATCGATACACATCCCTTTTGTCGTTTCCGTATCGATTCACGAGCATACAACGATACAACTCCTTACAACATCTTATTGCTTTCTTCGTCGTTCCAAAAAAAAATATTTTATTTTACTGGCGGAAAAGATAACCAACGTAAATATAAAAATTAACATTAAATAATTAAATATTAAATATGTTCTGTGATATGATATTTTGTGTTGCAAATTACAATTGGATGAACAGTACACGGGTTAACGAGCAATTTAAGCGAATTCCGAAATTAATTTATCTAGCGTGTATCTGAAAACGAACCAAGCTAATCGAACGAGATAAAAATGTAAATGCAAATCTTCACGCTATGCCGGATAATGTTTTATTTAATTAAGAGCATTACCGTTTTGCCGTGTCTCGTATTGATGTTGAAATCTACCAAAAAGCGATATAGGCACGCAAAATACACGCAAATACGTAGTCGAGTATTTTCCTGTTTATTATTAAAATATTCCGCCTCGTTACGTGACGGCTGATAACGGATCGTGGTATATCCTGTAATTCAGTATGCGATAGAAATTATATTCGTCGCTAATCGAACGAATTACATATTGCCTTCGAGTGTTTCATTAATTACTTGTAAATCGAGCGACGTGAAATAGTCTGAAGCGCATCCACGATCCAATGAAATTCTGTTATATATACTTTTACGCCATTTTTTTTGCCACCGTGAATTAAAATCAATTTATACCCCGTACCGATTTTCATAATTCGATCAAAGATTCTTGTTTATCCTTCTCGATACGCCATAACCATTATCGTTCGATTAAAACGAGCGAGCTTCGTAAATTAAACGAGTTAATG